CGGTCTCAGCCTTTAGCAAAAATGTGTATTTCTTTAGCACAGTTTGGCAGTTCTTACATGCACTTTTACAAAACTGTTGCAGCGAATGCCAAAAACAGTCAAAACACAGCTTTTTACGACTGCTAACAAACATTTTCAGCACTGAGTTCTGTTTTTTAGAACTCTTCACAGAATTTGTACAACAACACTCTGTTTGGACCAAACCATGAACAGTTTTTTTTTTTCTTGACTGAATACAACATGATTCAGTGATCATAATTTGCAAAATTCTGAGTCTCAGCCATTAACAAAACTGTGTGTTTCTATGGCTAAATTAGCAAAAGCTTACGTGAAAATAAACTGCCTATGAATTTACTCAATAATAAATACTATACTGATCAACAATCAGAGCCTTAAAATGACAACGGTTATAATGACTTGAGTTGAGTCTCAAGTCGCTGAGGTGCAAGTCGATTCTCAACAACAATTTCAAAAATTTAGCTGACTGAATGTATGTAAACAGGCCAATCACTGCTGATTTCCATAATCACTGATTCCCATCTGAGTCCTGCCCAGGCATTGATGTGTAAAAAGGGCTCACATCTAGAGTTATTTTGTTCTCAATGGATGGTCCATTACAGGCCCAGAACTTATTAAGCAAGTCATTATTCATACATGTATAAGCAATAGAGTATAGCAGGTATGATGTGGGTGTAATTATGTGGTCAGATTAGGTGGAGTATGTAATTACAGTAACTGTGATTTTTTTTTCTTTTTTAGATAAAGTACTGGATTTCCGTTACTTCATTGTTCCCATACAATAAAGATATACAGTTCTGTTTTGCAATGTTTTTTTCTGATGTAATGAGTGTTTTTTTAATTCACTGTAAAAAAAAAGTTTTTTTAAATCAACCTAAAAATATTTAATGTGGTAAAAAACAATTTAACTGGTGTTATTCAACCTAAATAAATGCTGTAAATGAACCAATGCAAAGTAAACTAGTTTAGATAACAAACCAATACTTACATCAATTAAAACCTCAAAAATGGTGGCAAGAACACTTTTTTACATGTTTCTGCAGTGTTTCCATAGCATTTCATTGCACAATAGAGCATTTTGGGCAAAAGAATGAACTGCTGTGCTGAGCTGTGTGTTTCTGCAGAGAGGGGTGTGAAGGGTTTCGAAAAAGTGAACTTGGCACTGAAAAATGCTTCTTAGCAATTTAAAAAAAAACCTGTAAACTCTATATCCAAATATTGGATTGGACAACAATCAAAGCCTAAAAATATTAATGTTTTTAGAAACAAACTGCTGACTGAATGTATGTAAATAGACCAATCACAGCACACAACAACTAAATGCTTATTATTACACATACAGGAAAGACAGGACCTTTTTTTCATTCACTCTAAACAAGCAGTATAAGTGGTTTTATTCAACTTGAATAAATACTTTCAATGAACCAATGAAGCAAAATAAAAATGGTAACTTTACTGTAGATACACGAAATAAATATTCTTTTTATGTGAATTCAAACATCAAAAAAACTTCAAATCAGCTTCCACGCTGTTCCACTTTTTACAGTGTTGTTTACATGATCAGCCACAGAATTAAAAAAAAAAATAAAATATGAAACAATGCTACAGAGCAAAGAAACCTTACTACTTTTTTGGGGTGTTTTTGGGTAGATGGTGTTATGTGTCAACTCTATCACAGACATTTGATCATCTAGCTCCAAATGTTTCTATAACATTGCAAAGATAAAATCTACATATTCCTAAACATTACATTGCCCTAATGAACCCATGATTGCCTTTGTGTTCACCAGGTAAACACAGGAACAATATAAATATTAACATGGATAAATTATTCTGACTGTTTAAACTAGGCATATGAAAATGTTGGGTGTGAGTTGTTTGCACTTTCTGTTAATTTAATGCCTAGTGTAATGTTTACCAGCCCTTCACCTGGAGCATCCAGGCCTGCACATTTTGGTGTTTTCCCTGGTGAAACATATCCGCTTCACACAAGGAACACTCCAGGATCAGAGTCCAAACCACAGCCCTTTAGCAGGATCATACCTAAGTAAGTGTGTGTAAATATACACAGACCATCCACTTTATTAAGTACACTTCCTTGTGTCTACTCTCTTTGTCCATTTTATCCTCTCCACTTACCATATTGTAGTTCTACAATTCCACTTTGTTGTTCTACAATTACAGACTGTAGTCTGTTTCTCTGCATACTTTGTTAGTCCCATTTTACTTCTTCTTCAATGATCAGGATCCCCACAGGACCACCAAAGATTACAGAGCATGTATTTGACATTTAAAAGTATATCTGTCCCTTAAAATATGTTGTTTTGTACCCATCCAAAGCTGAAAGCTAATTTTTTTCTGCAAATTAGGCTCTTTTACTACAAAAGCTGGCATTAGCTTTGCGAAAATATCAAAGTAAACATCTAATGTTTCTTCAGGGCATTAAGTCACTATAGGTAAGACATAAATGGACCATAAACATGTTTCATGCCTGATTATCTCAGCTGTCTGATTTTAAATTGCATCTGTGATGTTGGCCTACACACTTTGTGTGTGTAGAGTCTGGAGTGGGTCGGTCTGCATCATGTAACTCCTGATCTGAAAACGTCCCACTCCAGCCCTGTTTTATACTGATTATTTTAGGCTGATGTAACTTCATTCTCATGGTTGTGTGTGGGTCATTCTGTTTATTGCTACAGTCTATAGTCAGTAGCTCATTCACTGGAGGGACAGGCACCACCACATTGCCTCCTGCATAGTATTTATGCAATTACTTTGTATTTTTGTACTGCACATCACTCTTATTGTTTATTGTTTTAGTAGAGTTTATACTATTATTTATCTCTACTTCTTTTTATATATCTGCAAATAGTGTACAGCAATACTTGGCTCCTGTTCATTTTGCTCTTGTTTTGCTCTTTACTGTGCTTTATACTGCTGCAATAGAAGAATTTCCCTCTGGGATTAATTAAGTGATCTATCTATCTGTATATCTGTCTGTCTGTCTATCTATCTATCTATCTATCTATCTGTCTATCTATCTATCTATCTATCTATCTATCTATCTATCTTTTATGTTATAGCAATAGTGCACTATAACAAATGGTGTCTAGTAGCTCACTGTCTTTATATTGTTTCTTTAAAATACAGCAATATTCAATATATATTTTAACTTGTTTTTATATGAACTTTCAAAATTATCACAATAAATAATATGCACAATTATTAGGCAAGTAATTACAATAAAAAATTAAATGTTTTAAACAGACACAAACTTTATTTTATATCAAAACAATGTTTAATGAAGAAAAAGTGCCATTTTGCTCTGTCAGCAAAGAAATACAGCAATATTCTCAAATATTAGTGTGCGCAGTTATTAGGCACTTGTATTGCAAATTGTTTTTCTCAGTTTACTTAACAACAAACAAGTATGTTTAGCAAATAACAAATATAACAAATAACATTTAGCCTTTCAAAATATTCAGTTGCCAATACTGTCATGAGCCTGGCATCTATAGAATCTGTGAGTTTCATGATTGTTTTCATGGCCAATTTTAGCTAAAGCAGCCACCACAGCCTCCCAGATGCTGCTCAAGGATGTCTACTGTTTTTCCTCACTGTGAATCACTGTAAATGCTTGAGAATAGCCCACAAATTGTCAGTTGGAATGAAATCAGATGAGGAAAGGGGCCAGTTTATTAATCAGTCATCTTGGAATGCTTTACTGGCCAGCTAAGCAGTGGAGTACTCGGACACATGTGATAGAGTATAGTCCTGCCTAAATGTCTTCTTAAATACCGTGGACCTCTTCTTCTATCATTTTTTAAAGAAAGTGTTTTCCAGAAACTGGAGGTAGTTTTGAGAATTGAATTTCATTCCGTCTGCAATCCTAAAGGTTTCAACTAGCTCATTGTTGATAATAATAGCTGCCCACACCTTGGTGGAGTTGAACTGTTGTCCAGTGTGATCCAGCCATGTGCCCAACCATCTGGGCCATCAAGTGTCACGCTAAGCTCATGTCCATAAGACCTTTGAAAAATCAACCCTAAGGTCTAATCTTGGCCTAATCTTGATGCTTCAACTTTAGCTTCAGTAATTCTTAAATGGAGGTCGTGTTTCAGCCTTCTTGACCTTTGCAATGCCTCTGAGCACGTCACACCTTGACTTCAGGAAAATCCCAGAATGTTTGCAGTTCTGGAAAGTGACCATTCCAATCTTGGATACACCCATACAGAAACTCAAGAAGGAAAACAAAAACATGTGTGGTTCTTCCTGAAGCATCACAAGGAAGTTCTTTATTATAGATATAACCCTCCCACAGGTTTATGTATAAAAGGGCTGGTTCTAAAGGTTTGGTGCATGCTCTCTCTTATGTTCTAGTGCTGCACACAGAACTTGTGACCTGCTGAAGACCTCAGAAGACAAGACTTTAGTATAACACAGCAGCGTAAGTATTAGTAAAAATATAATACATTACAAAAAAAAAAAATGAATGTAATCGAATGTGATGATCCAGCTCACACATATTTGTGAAAGAAGTGCAACTTAAATCAGTGACTTGACTTAAAAAGTAAGTAAACCTGCTGCAATAATTTCGAGTTTATTGAACTTCTAATAATAAGAACAAAAGACAGATTTTTGTTATGTTAACTTACTAGTAGAAGTTCAATTAACTTTATTGCAGCAGGCTTACTTTGATGCCACCTGTTTGTCTTTCTGTTGTCAGTAAGCAAAGCTAAAAGAGTTTATTTGGGAAAAAATAGCCTTTTTATTATGATTATTTAATATTAGTCAAGTAGCGTCAGTCGTCTGATCATTGGTTGATGTGGTCATTCGTTTACAGTTCAGTGACTCATGCTTAAAGGTGTACAGTTAGTGATACACCTTCAGGCTCCATGTTGGTGGTATATTTTTTTTTTTTAAGAACTGCGTGTAAATATGGCTTGCTGTGTGCAGGACACATCTATTGAGTCAGAGAAAAGATGAGAGTGTGGGTGCTGCTTGTGCTGCTGTCTGTTGTGCCAGGCTCCTACAGCAAGTGTAAGTACATTACTAATATAGACATTGCATTTGAAAAAATGAAGCAATCAAATTTAAGTCATAAATCTTCCAATTGTTCAGTACTGTACACTTTGGCATCACAGCTATTATAGATGCTTGTGTGTTTCATTATAATTTTCATTATGTTACATTTTAACTGAATGTGTGTTCGACACTGTTTAGTCCTTGAGCTGAGGGTGGATGTTGACTTCCCTGGAGATGATATCCAGCAGATCTTCTCTCCAGATGCCTACCACTGTCAGCTAGCCTGCACCGAGCACAGCTCCTGCCTCTTCTTCACCTTTTTACGATCTGACTGGGTCTTAGACAACAGGTTCAGTTCCTTTAAAATACTTCAGTTTGATAAGGAAGAGTTTGTAGTTGTGGTGTACATTAGGCTTCACATGATAATAAAAACACTTTTCAAATGGAAACATTTAAAGGAATTTCCACTGCTACCTGAAGTACACAGCCAATGGTATCCCATCCCGGGTTTCAGATCTGAAAGGTGTAACATCAGGCTTCTCACTGTCCCGTCTGGAGTACAAAACCCGTGAGCTGAAGATATTTTTTCTTTTGGTTGCATATTCCTTTTTCCTTATGGTGGGTAATTAGTTGTCTAATACTGTGTGAATTGATGACTTGTTCTTAATTATTTAGTCCTGTAAATCAGAGCCTGACTGCAAAATTTGGTAGCACAATATTTTATAGTAGTAATTAGTATTTATAATAGGTAAAGATGTTGTAAAAGTAAGATTCTAGTACATTTGTGGTATGAAGTAACATACTGAAACTACCAGAAATGTACAGCAGTACCTACATGTACTTACACTACATGTGTGTAGTACTTACAAATTATTTTCTGGTATGTATTTTGCACTCTAATTAGTTACTCTGTAAGCACAAAGTAACTAATGAGAGAAATAACTGGTAGCTTTTTGGCACTTAATGCTGAAAAGTAATACAACTGTGGTAAGTACTACCAACAGTTGGTGAGTATAGATGTCAAAGGTGCAAAAATTGTAGGGTACCTACTACTACTGAGTACTCAGTAAGTATCTTTTTCCAGTATAGTAAATTAAACTATGAATTGTTTACATTTAAGTGCTACATATTTACATTCAATTCTGAGTACTGCTGTAGATGGCTGGTTGCTTTTATACACGCAAAATATACATTGGAAAAATACTTTTAAGCAGTATATATTTACACCTTTAATACTACATACTTAAAATACTGTAAATTAAAATGTTACCCAAAATTATTTTCCACCAATGATATGACAAATTGCCTTTCATTTTTCCTTATCAGGTCCTTGCCTGTCATCCACATATCAGGACACTAATTTCCCAGGATTAGACTACCATGAATTCCCCTCATCTAGCTCTGACAAATGCCAGAACGCGTGTACCAATGATCCATACTGCCGATTCTTTTCTTTCACAACAGAGAGCTTCTCAGTGGCAGACAGACGGTAAGAGGAAACATGATTGTCATCATTGTGTGTATGCTCTACAACATTTCTGCTTGAATAATTGTTGGCTACAGTTTTGAGTAGATGACATTTCTCTGCAGAAAAATATGCTTCCTAAAATACAGCTGGCCGTTCCCAGTGCCGCCAGTGATCACAACCAAAAATGTCCACGTATCAGGATTTTCACAGTCACTACTTAAGGCTAATGGAACCTTTAAACAAGGTATATTTTAATCAGTCACTGAATTTTTCTATTTCTAATTGCATTGTATTTATCTGTCACTTTCTTTTTTCCTGTGTTTCACTGCTACAGAATGCAGTGATTTGGTCCTTGCCAACATAAACTTCCCCGGCAATGACTTGGAGCAGATTGTTGCTGGATCACCCCAACACTGCCAGATCCTGTGCACCATACATCCCCGCTGCAACCACTTCTCATATACCAGGTATCAAACAAATAATGGCCTGTGAGCGCCAATGGAGTCTAATGTACACAACCTTTCTCATCCATTGAGACATATTTCTAAATTTGATGATGTTCTGAAGCTAATTTCCCTTTAAGGCCCCAAATGCGCTGCTACTTGAAGTATAAGCCAAGTGGGTATGAGCCAGTTAGGGGGGATGAGGTGTATTCAGGATTTCCAGCATGCAACTGCAGGCCTTCAAATGGTTTGATTTCTCTCTCTCCCACGCACATATGTACACACACACACACACACACATATACATAAACATATATATATATATATATATATATATATATATATATATATATATATACACACACAAACTCTCTACAAAATTATAATAGTATATTATACATTATAATATTATACATTAAATTGTATAATAATTAACTTGTGCATTATCTCTGTCTCATTTGGAAATCAAGTCTCACGCTTTGAGAACGTGGATCTCACTGGAGCCGATTACCGTTTTGTTGTGACCACTGATCCTGAGAGCTGTCAAAATATCTGCACAGCCGATCCAGACTGTCAGTTCTACACTTACATCTTTCCATCTAACCCTGAGCCAATCCACAGGTAAATATGCCTAAACAAGAACAATAACTTTCCTCTGCAGTACATGATGACATAAAATCTAAAAATAATGCTTTTTTTAAGGACTCGTTAATTGTTTGTGTATGTTGAGTTCAAGTTTTGTTGTTTCAGGAATAGGTGCTACCTAAAGAGGGTCATGACTCTGCCCCGGCCTTCTACAGTGGTGACCACGCGTGGTGTGGTATCTGGCTTCTCTCTGAAAGACTGTCAAGACAATTAAACATAACTACCTGAATCCTTTACTTTAGTTGCAAGAAAAGGGTTCCTGACTCTCTGTCTCCTATGATTTGCATGCCTACATGATTATGGTTCTGATTAAAATAAATATAACCTTAATGACTCATAGTCTTAAGGAATCTTAGTTCCTTAAGATTTGTGATTTTTGAGACGTGTTTTCCTCAGGAGTTTAGCTGTAATTTAATCTTCTATTATAAGCTGGGAGGTCTTTCTTTATCCCTTTTCTCCCTATATAACCACTGTCACTCTGTCTCTGTGAGTCCCAGGACATGAGGTCTCATTCTTTACAGAACTCGAAGTATCTCAAGTTTAGCTCCCTTGGCTGCCATTTTTAGAGTATATTAAAATATTATAGTAAGATAGCGTGGGTCACAATCCAATGCATTTTGTTTTTCCTAAATAATTTTAAAAAAGTGCTTGAGCAAAATCAGTAATATTTTTATATAAGCAATCAACACATTAAAAAAGATAACTGTTGGCAGCACATACCTCTTATGAAGTGTTCAGCCACAAGCAGAGTCTCCAGTTTTGCAACTCAATCCCAAAGAACGCAAATGGAAGAAGGGAATTTAGGAACTATGATGAAAACCTGGGAGCTTGTTTTCCATTCCTTTAGATAAACATTGTTAAAGTTAATTTAACAATAATTTGCCATAATATCTTTGTTGTTATTTCACCTTTTTCCTTATATGTTAATCCTTTGTTGTTGGGAAGCCATCAATCATTTAGTAATCACTGATTTGAATAAACTCTTTGAATAAATTTGATAAAGACAATTTGGCTGTGTGGACTCTTTTTTTTGTAACATACTCTGAGAATTTAACAGCATACAAGTGACTGCCCAATATTTTTACTCAAATATGGGTGTGAACTTCAGGAAATAGCCTTTTCCATAAATGGTGGTGATTCCAGGATAGTTAGTTGCTCACGGTGTAGAAAAATCGGCTCGTTGATGGCAAAACTGGCGGTCCACTGGAGTTTTGCTCAGCATTTTCTAGGTGGTAGATCGGTGTTTAAGCATAGTATTAGACCAAATTCCACTTATCATCACTCATTTTCCACTCACAGTCCAATTACCTTCCTTTCATTGGTTATAGTTTGTAAGTAGGTTTAGTAAATAGTTTTAATTTAGCTCCGTGTCAGTAACATTTTCTAGAAAATCATTTTACATTAGGTCCAGTCATTTTTTATTCTTTGTAATATTTATCCTAGTTTATTTTCTAAAATAAAAGTCTCTGTACATTTAAAATCTGTTTGGGGAGATTATAAACTAGGTAAAGCTTGTATGCAGGACAGTAATCTCGGTGGTCAGAGGGTGGACCAGCAGTTGCAAACAGTTAGTGGGGTGTTGCCCTTATCAAGTCAACGGACAGATATATGCTTGTTATCTGGGAAGATTGTGTTAAAGACATAAAAGTCTGGATTACCAGGAGCTTCTTCATGCTAAACGCTGACAAGACAGAATTATTGCTGTTGGGTTTCAGGTCTGCTTGAAATGAGGCTGCACATATCAGCCTTGACCTTTGAATTGTTTTTCAGAGCAATGGAAAGCTAAAGACCTTGGTATAAACCAGTGGTCGGCAACATGCGGCTCTTTTACTGCCCTGTTGCGGCTCCACAGCAGAATTAGATTTTTAGGCAAAAATAAAATAATCCTCCTTTGCAGTAAAATAAAGCTCTGCTGATTGTTTTCACAGTTTTAACACTAAATGGTCCTAAACGCTGGAGTTAATGTAGCCTATATTTGCAAATTCACCAACCTTTAACCCTGAAGATTGGCGCGCAGACGGCTGGTCACCATAGCAAAGGCAACAGTCTCACATAGCTAGCTAACAAAAAGGCAAAGGGAAAGGTTTAAGATGAACATTGATAATTTAGAGACAAATGGACTTATTTGCATTTATAAACACTCCAGCTGGTTTCTTGATATATTTAATCTGCAGCGAAAAACTGTCAAATACTAAAAAGTGGTGAAGCTGAAGTCGGCTTCTCATTCAAATCTTGCGGTTCCACCTTAAATGATGCAGCAGTTACATTCCTGCGCCTTGGGCACCATTTAAGGCGGAACGGGAGAATTCGAACAAGAAGCTGGTAAATGAGAATAAGACTTCAACCTCGTAAAAAGCCGATCATTGAGAGGTATTTTACAAGAAACTACTCCACTTCTGAGGAAAATGTTTCTTGCCAGAGATGCAAGAAAAGTGGCTATAGCTGAGCTAAAGCTTAAAGCAGAGCAAAGTAAGTCTGCGTTTTCATTTTATATGTTTAGCCTTTACTAGTACATTAGCACACACTGAGACATATTTACAGCCAAGATGGTAAAATGGACATAAAATGTTGTGACTACCAAGGTGGTTTCCTTTTTAAATGAAAGGACAAAATGGCTCTTCCTACCATTTGCGTTGAGTGACAGTTCATCATTTGAGCCCCATATCTAGAATATCTCTGCATCGTATCACTTCAGATACATAACAAAAAAAAAGCTGTAACAGCTTAAGAAAGAAATAGAATAACTTCACAGCTCACATTAAAATTAACCTCTTATTCTCCAGGGTATATTTTGGTTTTTCCATCTGAATTTACATCACCAAATTGTAAGGCAAATTATTCAGTAACTGCATGAAATAGGTGTACATTTTTATTTTATTTTTTTTTGTAGAAGTTCCCCTCAAATTAACAGAAGTTAATGTTTTATGATCATACACATATTGCTATATGCTTACAATTTACGGCTGAAAGCCAAAAATCTTAGACGCTCTTTGTATTATTTTATAAAAATAATTTTTACAGAGTATATCACTGAAGAGATGCCATCTGTTTATAGTTTATAGCCCAGATTTGTGGAAAAATGGGTCGACTTTCAGTAGAACCTGTGAATTCAGCATCTTTTATTGTAAGGGTTTAAAATTACATCACCCATCTATTTGACTGGAAATAAGACAGTTACAGCTCTCATATGACACCCACCTTTTGAATGTAGCTTATAAAATATGAAAGTTATGAAGAATATGACGAAGTGCATTTTGGAACCATTGGTGATCTCAAGGAGTTGAGGAGTTTAATACTACATCAGTGGGTTGTCTGAATTATGACTAAACTGCTGCTATGCAGGGTTTAGGGAAGAGGAGGGGATACTCCCTCAGATTTCTGGGTATAATGCATTATAAAGGTTTATTTAGAAATACAGTATTTTTTTGGCTTTACTGCTTTACTCTTCATTTATGTTATGCTTATGCTTATGTATTTCATACGTTACATAGTAGTCTTTTATCCAAATAAAAGTGAGGTAAATTCAGTTTTCCATGGTGTTGTGAACCTGATAAGGCGCACGTAAAAGATTCCTAATATTAATAAATAAATAAATAAATAAATAAACAAACAAACAAACAAACTACTGCATGTAATAAACAGAGAAAGAAAAAAAATCATAAAGGCATGTACGCGCAAGTAGAAAAGTTAATCAATCCAAACACAAGACTATATATGTATATTGGTTTTATTTAAGTCAAGGAAATGCAGAAAGAGATGGGCCCTGACAGCGTGCAACACTGCTTCTTGTTCTGATGTACAGAGCTGAGGCCTGAATTATCGTGGCTTAACACCTTCCCAGACTCAGAGCACACTACCTTTAAGCACATTCCTGTTCCTTTAAACTTATCGGAGAAAGAACTGAATTAGTCTTTGACCACTTAAAATTCCTCTTTGTTAATGATCGCTTACCTTGGCATAGCTTTGGCTTCAAAGGGACGGGGACAAAAGATAGTGGATCATCCACCTCTAAGCAGCTTTTTGCATAAGATTCTAAATCTGACATAGATACATGTCCTTTTGTAGCTTTACATACTGCATTAGCTTATGGAAGTAATAGTAGTGCTTAAAGCAAACCATAAGCAAGATAAAAAAATGAAGCATTTTAGAGCCCAAATACCAGTCAGAGGTCACAATAGCTTAAATGACTGGGTAGAGAAAGGCTTGAAGTAGTGGTTAATATAAAAAGAGTGAAAAGTCATGATCATCTGCGATTATGTATAGATCATATTTAAAGAAAATCTTTTAGCTTTGCTTACTAGAAAAAAAAAAAAAAAAAAACCAAAGACAGACATATAAACACAGATGATAATGTTGCCTTGAGACATAAAATCCCAATACCCAAGTGAAGGTGAGTGAACATGGGGCCACTTCCACTCCTCCCTTCCCAAATATGTGTTTACCTGAGTTGGTGGTGGTGTTCAGGTTGTGTAGCTGTCCACTATTGCATGTGACTAAGAAGACTGAAACACTGGCTGCGTTCATACAATCTCCACTAATTTAGTGCACCCCATCACCACATCCAAATACCTGTCCTGCAGGTTCCTCTCACACTGCTTCCTCTTGTATAAGGTTTCTGCAATTTGTTAAATTGTAATACTTGAGAATAAAGAAGAGAATAAGGGGCTTTAGCATGAAGTGGAGAGTTACCATTTTGCACCATAACCATCTTTCCCTCTTTAAAGATGTATTAAGACCGTCTTGGAATGCACAATATAGTGTATAGAGATAAATATTGCCATTACTACAAGCATGATTACTGTAGATACATACAGTTGCCTCCATATCACTAGAGGCACCAGAAAATTTGGTGTCTGGCCTGTTTCCGATGTCATTCGCAAACATTTGTAAGAGTGGCACTAAGCGGCACAGACCACTTCAAACAAGATGCTGACTCTTCCTGATGCTCACTCCTCATCGGTGGCCTCCCTTTTGGATTCATCCAGCTTCTGATCCACGTGTTGAGAGGAAGGGCTTGGAAGAGGCACTACTTCCACTGCAGGCAACGTGGCTCCGTCTGGCACACTGTCCTTTCTTTGAGAGAGCTCTTCCTAAGCACACATTAAAAAAAAACGTTTGCATTTAGGCTACAGTCCATTTAAATCTATTACCAGAGGACTGTTGTGGAATAAGCCATGCGTACACTACACGACTCTCACACTTAACATCAGTCTTTCACAGAATTTATTGTCATGAGCGTTCACACACTGGACCATAAGGCAAAAAGAAGATAACACAAACCTGAGTTTCAACAATGAAAAAAGCACTCAAAACCCCAAATTTCCCTGGATATCATTAGACATAACAAAGCTAAACTGGCCTGGACCAGTGCATCAAAAATGCAAACTGAGGATAAATATGTGGTTGAGAAATGCAGATATCACAGTGAGAGCAGGAGAAACATTTTACTACAAACTGGCAGCTGACTGAAATTATAAAAAGAGTGTCTTGACATCTGGGTCCATACCTAATGAACATTATAAACAATATAAAGGCTCTTATTGGACTGTGTTCCACTGTTTCTGCAATCTGTCGCACATGCAGTGTGTATACACAACTCTGTCTATTCTTCTCTCTCCTCACTTTCTCACTGGCTGTTTCCCATATCATCCAGTATGTCAGTTACGTCGCTGACCATCTCACACTACAGGACTCACAGCCGCTTTGAGTCATAAAAATATTGGAAATATCAACAGGCCTCTAATCACTTCCGAATTAGATCGGAAGGCTAATCATTAACGTGCTTTCATTTCAGGTCATTTGTGCCGTAATATGCTTCAGATTGAGAGCTTGACCTGGAAAATCGCTTCAGGTTGAGAAAGTCTGCCAGAAGGGGCAAATGGAGCTATAAATCATGTAGTGTAGGCCTGGCTTTAGACATTCTCTCACCTGCTCAGAGAATCGCTGATTCGCAACCTGATCCCCAAACTCCTGGTTTTCTAGCTCTTCACCATTTGAGTGGCAGCTGGGGCTTGGCACTTCTATCCCGTGACTCTCAAGAATTGCAGCCTCTGAGAAAACGAGATGGGGTGAAAACAAGACCAGGCCTAGTATTGATCAATAAGAGATAAAAATTAAAGTTATATGTTAATCATGTTAAAATTATTTGCCTTTACTCAACCTCTCACCTATATTAGCACGTCTCTTCATCTCCTTCCTGCGATTGGCAAACCAGTTATACACTTTGAGCGCAGTGACTCTCTCAAACTCGGAAAGCTTGCACCCTGGAACCACATTATTTCACAAAACAGAGGAATCCAGTAATTTTGTTTCAAATCGCACATTTAATTTGTGGTGTATTCTCAGAATCGGACTGCAACACCATAGAAAACACTGGTGTAATACTTCAAGCAGAGCTTGCTGCCAGTCTGCACATGTAACAAGAAAAGAAAACTCACCAGGTTTTTGGATGACAGAGTTGCAGGCATTGGCAATCTCCTCTCTCTTGGCTTCATCGGGATACTGATTCTCTATAAAGAAACTGACCGACAACAAAATTCAAACTCGACAACAAAACTCAAAAAGACAGTCGACAGTTTGCATCTCATCTTGAACAAACGTTTTTGAGTGATCGTTCTTTATAACCAAATGGTATAGTCCACAACTTAAAAGGACATGTCTAAATTGATGCTCTCATTTCACCAGAGTTAAGAAAAGAAAAATTCACCAGACAAACAAGCAAACATCATCTACAAAAAATACATACTCACACAGGCTATTTACATTAACAATACTACCCAACAGAACTCTGTCTACAGCAGAAAGGCATAGATGTTACACTTGTGTCGTTAGGCCCTCTAGTGTCAAACTTGTGTCATTGCTGTGGGGCAAGATTACTGTAATTTCTGCACAGTGCAATGAAAAACATACTGCAGATTCATTAATGCGCTGCAAATTCAGACAACACTTTCATCAACATGACTACACCTGAACTACTGTATTTCTGTATTTGCCTCACGTTTTTGAAAACACATGCAACTCCTGAAACACTGCAAAGCCAGTAACAACTCCACAGATGTGAGCCACAGTGCAGCATAAATGTTTCTGGAGGACTCTCAAAGAGGATGGAATATCTGTAATAGAAAATCACAGAAGTTGAGAAGACTGCAGAGCCTCACATTCCTTGGACTCATGGTTAACTTAGTTGGCTGGCTTGTTCGTTATCTGACATGTCATAGCTGTACTATAGTAATTATCAGTCATACCTGGTATTACTTTTTAAAATTTTACAATTAGACAGCTAATTCACATCATGATACAGAGATATTAGTAATTTGTTCAAATAAAAGTTAACATTTTTACTGGTGAATATTTATGCTGCATAGAATTTAAGATGTTGAATGGCTCCGTCCTCTTCGAGTACCCTCCGAAAACAATTCTGTTGTGCTCTGACTGATGTTGCAGTATTTCTGAAGTGTTTTCTGTATTTGCAGCGTGTTTGTAAAATGTAGCACTGGTGTAGTGAATTTGATGAAAATGTTTTTCAAGTTTGCAGAGTTTCTACAAATTTGCAGTGCACTTTATTATTTCGTAGGGAATTTGTAAAATGCAGCACATATGTTGTCATTTTGATGGAGGCATTTTCTGCATTTGCAGCTCATTTCTCTTATTGTGTAATGCTTTGGGTCTTTGGCCACCGTCTTTCCTTTTCAAAGGAGCTTGAATCCTGGTGATGTCACAGCCACGGGGAAAAAAAAAAAAAACAATCTAACAGCTGCATTTTGAATTATGAATAATGAAAACTGACTGCAAGACGATTGCTTATAAGTATTTGAGCTATTTCACAAAAAAAGATTCCAACAAATGTATTTAATTTAGGATATTAACCGTTAACTATCACTGTTACAGAGTGAAGCTGCTCAGTAAAGGGGAATGGGCCCTTATTCACTGACCTAAAGGCTGCTTAGGAAGATGTTTGCGATTTCCTCACCTCTCCATGATTGATTGACACTCTTTCCTCCAGGTGAAGCGGCTGCCCCTTCGTAGTCTGAAAGGCCCCCCTACAGCCACCCTGTCTCCAGGGCTACCAGCAACCCTCCAGTCAGGTTCCTCTTTGACCAGGGAGCGCATGGACAGAGTAGCACCTGCAAACACATTAGACAGACACAAGAAATTGAAGAACTCTAAGCAAAAACATCTTAGGAATTCACATTTGCATATTCAGATTAGCAATTGCTGGTCACAGATTACACAAACTAAGCATTTTTTAATATGATAAAATGTCTTAAGTCTGTGGCAATAATGCTCTTCTAGGCCATGCATGTCCTATTATACAGCGAAATTTCTGTGTAATTCTATCGTTGAGACTGAAACAAAATCATTCAGGGTCAGATTCCCAGATTAAGTCTAGTCCTGGACTATTTTCGTTTCAATGTAAAATCTCCAATCAGAATGCTGTATAGTCCAGGACTAGACTTAATGCTGGAACACAGCCTTCAGTGTGGTTTGATGTGAATTAAAATCGTATTTAAAAATATTTTAGGCTAAAGGCTTATGTCAAAACTATGGTAAAGCAAAGTATCAGGCATCAGTGTATTCATAACCATTTAAGGCGATGTAACCACTTTCTGGCAACATTCACACTGCAGGTAAAAGTGACCGATGTTGGAGGATGAGCGAGACACACATGGGCAGTGTAAACAAACAGGCATGGCACTGTGTAACAGGAGAAATCAAACAGCTATTGAATATCCATTTACTTCCAGGATAAATGTAGCACTGGTGTAGTCCAGGAGTCAAAGCAGCTTCAAACAGAGCAAGTCTCTTCTTATACATTACCATTGTTTGGCACCGAATTTGCTTAATTATGTAAACTGAAGTAAGTAAATAAATGAATAAACATCATTTGGCCAGTAAATCAGATTTGGGCCACTTTTACCTGCACTGTGAATGTAGCATGGATGAGAGGCATTAAATAATTTTGACATCTGGTTCCCATCACCACTACTGACTCAACTAGTAGAAAGGTGCATATCAAACCACTCTGAATGACTTTGTTTACATAATAATTTAAATATGCAGAAATTTTGAACAGTCAGGGGAATTCCCCTTTAAGTACAACAGCTGAAAAGGCTTCCCTGCAGCATGGTGGTTACCTGGCTGGGACTGGTGTGCAGAGTACCAGGGGAGCAGATGCATCAGTAGTTCTCTCTGTCTACTCCAGGGGGTGTCAGTCCTGCTCCTGGGGCCCTGAGCTTGCTGGTTTTCACTCCATCTGAACCCTTTAAGCCGTTCAGGCAATCAGAAAACTGTATGTTAACTAGGCTTACTTCCAAAGGCCAACAACGTGTCAATCATAGGTGTATACATCCTCCAAAATATTGCTCAGTTAAAACTGTTGTTAAAATGGTCTATTCCTCTCAACTGTATTAATATAATCCATAATTCAAGAGATTCATTATGCACATACATGCTCAATACTGCAGCACTGCAGAGGATTACAAAGCAACATGCTCAGGGCTCTGTTAGTAGCGTTAGGTGGAACAGAGAAAACATGAAAACCAGCAAGTTCTAGGCCCAGGATCATGACTGAGAGCTATGGTTCACAGCCTAGTTTGGGGTACTGTAGAAACGGCGGGAAAGGTAAAGATACCAGAGAGTTTTGCCCAAACTCTGCACTATTTTATCAGCCCCTTTAAGCACTGCTATATTCAATCTTTCAATGTAAGTAGATGAGTGTTTTGGCTGGGTGACAGACTCTTAAATTCATTTCCCAAACTGTACGCAAGCTTATAGGATTTGCCAAGCCCACCATTAAATCAATAACATAAATAATGGTAAGTGAAACAGTTGGTTTCATATTTTTTATATATATATATATATATATATATATATATATATATATATATATATATATATATATATATATATATATATAAAAAAATTTTTTTTACATATTACATCAACTTTTTTTTGTTTTTAAGGCCTGTTTCAGACAACATATTGTATACTGACTCAACCCTTTAAGCTTCATGAAAAGAATGTAGAGGGTAAGGATGAAAGAAAGAGAAAGTTAGATGATTTAACAAACCTATGCAACTTTTCCTCTTTTTGCCCCAGGCTAAAATCTGTTAACTAGCACTAAAGGCCAGCTGAAAACTCCAAATTCCACTTTATTGGCCAGACCAGCTGAGCTCACCTGGGCTGTTACGTTCCAAGAGGTACCAGCGGTAAAAGGCTCTGCGCTTGGAGTCACTCATCTCCAGACCCTGCTGCAGAAGCCACTGGGAGATGTAGCTTTGACTAATACCTACAACATGAAACACAATCACAAAAAGCTTGTAAAGAAAATTAAATTAGACTGAAAATATGCCAAGTTTAAGTTCACCAAAGTTTGATTAAAACCAGTAACGGATGTTTAATGCATGGTATTCATAGAAAGTAACTTTCTTAACACGTAAAGCAGCAATAATATGTAACATTCTCTCTGATGAAGTCACTGTGGGATTGTTTGCCAGTGGGAGCTGGACTGAGTACCTGTGACTTGTCCAACAATAGCCTGAGAGATCCTCCTGTTATTAAGAAAAGCCTTGATCTCCTCCTTCACCAGGTTACTGTCCCTCCTAAAATCCACACACATCTATGCATGAGAGCAGATCATTAAAACACACACCAGCCACAGCATTAAGATATACAGGCCAATGTGGTGATCACAACATAACTAAATACTGACTTGAACACAAGCCTCTAAGCAGGGATGTGGCAATATACCGGTATAATAATGTAATAAATATGATGTCGGGCTGAATTATCAACACTTCAGTACTAGTTAGGCCTAGATGATACAGCATGATCCAAAACATCAAATAATGTAATTATACAGACATTTTTAGAAAACAGTGTAAGCGGGACTTTGTGAGTCTGCCATAAATACAAAAAGGAGACATAGTGAGCCTTTCAGTGGTTTGCATTTTTTACCAGTTACTGCGTCACGACCACATCCAGCCCTCCCACCCATCAATGTGATCATCATACAAGGAAAAATATTCATATATTTTCACAAGACTACTATCAAAGGCAATGTTCCGTTTAGGCAGCAGAACTTGAAATCTGTTGAGGAGCTTTAAAACATCCTATCAAAACCAGCTGTCTCACTGTTCCTCCCAATCCACCTGACCCACTTAACAGAGGCCTGTTATTCTCTGAAAATTACATGGTTGCTCTAAGGGACACTCACTGCCATTATCTGGTGTTATATTAATTAGTCCCTCTCACTATCATTTTGAGCAAATACCAGCAAAAAAGGTAACATAATATGATCTTATACCTCATGTACTCCTCCACCTTCTCTTCCAGATCCCAGTCCTCTTCCGCCATGTCATAACTGAACGACCTCTGAACTCCGCTGGGTGGGTACAGGGGAGGAGGTGAAGCATCGTAGCTATTGCTGGGTGAGAGCGCAGCATCGAGGACAGGGGTCTGTGTGGTAGCTGAGGTGAGAGAAGAAGATGAGGAGGAAGATGAAGAGGGGGCGGCTGGGGCCCCAGAGGTAGGAGCATTGGGTGGGGCTGAGTGATTGTCACAGCAAGTGCCACGGTGGTCTGGATCCAGTCTCTCTAGAGACTCCAGCGCTTGGATGATCTGAGGCTTGGTCAACCCAGAGAGCCTCAGCCGCTGCAGCAGGTCGATCTGCTCGATCGTGTAGCGCGGCTCCACATCACAACACTCCATCCTGGCATCTGCAATGAGAAGAGCCAAGTTATTCCTTCAGCACCTGGGATGGATGACATTAAGGGCATTACTGAAATGACCACTGACAACTCCACTTCACAAACCAAAACTATGATTCCTGTGAACTTTTTTTTCCTTTTTCTAATTGAGGTATTAGGTCCTAGAGGATCATGATTAAGTTTAAATGTATTTGTATTTAACAAAGGATATAGTGACAAAGCAGCAAAGCACAGAAATCCATGTCCAAGCCTTTAATGAGTAAGCCAAGGCAGGTGCGTCAAACTTGGTTCTTTCTGGGCTACAGCTCTGCAGATATTAGTGCGTCATTCCTACATACATTACAAATGCTATAGCTAAAAACGTAATGTAACAAATACTATGCTAAAACTTGATGTTTCCTCTTTTTTTGGATATGCAAACAATGCCTGGTTTAATAATTGAAAATAAAAGTTTTAGTAACAATAGTAACAAGATTTGAAGATAAATCTGTAATGTTTTTTTCACAACTTTTCCCCCCCCATGAATTGTATTGGCTAATTATTAAATAAATAAATAAATAATAAAAAAAACACCGCGACCCAGAAGGAAAAGTGGTTTAGATGATGTATGTATGTATGCATGTATAATATTAAAAAAATTATACAAATGATACAACTAATCTTTGATACTAAATGATATCAAATCATTTTTAGCTCCGTGATGACACTCAAATATTGATGGACATGTTTTGGGCTGGTTTTGTGAGAATGACCCTAGCCATGTTAATCAGCAGATGAGCTGAATTAGATGTTTAATGAAGAGAAAAACTAAAGTTCCTAAACCAATAAAATTCAAAGATGGACCCTTTAAAACCATTGATTCATATAAGAGGTCTATCAAAGGTCATCAAACAATAGGCCTACTCTAAGAGCATTTTTCTTGTTTTTACTCATCAACGCTTTGTAGTTTGAAGGTGCCACAGAATGCATTTATTCAGCATTTTAAATTGTTCTCTGATGTCTACACAGAAGTTATGTGACTTTGGTCGAGGCAAAAAAATGCCCAGATGCGGTTTTAGACCCATTTACAACCCTATGATTTGGTCCTAGAATGAAACAAGCTGTGTTCCCTTTTTTGGTGGGCTCATGAATAAATTGATGAGCTCTGCTTCAATTTGCAGGATTACAGCAAGGCACTGCAATAGCTCACACAGAATGTAACAATGCAACATGTTGAAATAAACATAGGCAGGAAAATGAAATGTACCATGTAAATAAGCTATAGATTTAGTTAGCTATACTAGTTACTCAGAGCTTGCTAGTAGCTAACTTTACCTATACTAACTTCTTGCGTTCGATCTCAACAACAACACAAAGTGTATTACAGTTACAGAACCTTTCAATTTAAGATGATCTGGCTTTAACCACAGCATGGCAGATACTTATAGGTTGCGGTTGCAGTTGTGATGCTAATAAAGTTGGAACTGTTCGTCTGTTCAGTGTCACATGCTGAGTGAAGCTTGCTCAGTATCGTCCAAGGTTTGAGAAACTGCCCAGAGAGAAATGTGCAGAGCAAACTTACAACTCTGAAGCAGTTAAACTTTAAAGTTATCCAGGATCTTGTTAGAGACATGGGAGCTGAAGTTGGATTCCTGTTTGCCAGTTGTTTTGTTACTTTTCCATTCCACCTTAAATGGCGCTGCAGTTACACTCTGGCACCTACACAAGCTGCAGCATTTAAGGTGGAATGAACAGTAAGCCAGCTTCAGCCTCTTTTACAGATGAACATCAACCATGCCCGTTGATAGTTTGGTACCTTGGGAAGGATATAAAATGCGCCAACATCCCCCTCACAGCCTGGAATGGTACATTTCTGAACACAGTCTGCCATTTTCATTGCTATTGCTCCGCTGTTGTTGTTTGGTTCTTCACAATACCTGCCGGGCTAGAATGTGGGCTGGTGTATGTAAATTTGGGGAGCGTAAATAGTACAGAGCGAAGACTATTACATAACAGTTTAGGATTTTGGAATTGGTCCGTTTTACAGCCCACTTTTGGAAATGCGGGATTTGCATCTGAACTCTAACAACAGTGTTTTAGTTTCACTCTATGTCACTTTCATGTACCTAACTCTCCTTATGCAACTATTCCAATGTAAATACCTGTTTTTCACTCTATGACACCTTTAACCTGGTGTTAGAGCAGAATGAACACTAAATACTGCAAGGCTGTGACCCTCCAGTATCTGACAGTAGTCTGACACCCTTGCTCTAACTACACAGGGCAGTTTCCCACAAGCATTTTGGCCCAAAGACAATTCTTAAATAGCAGAGCAGACATCACACTGAGCATTTCTTTCTACCAACTAAGATGGTCATAACAGTAAGATACTTTTGGTCCTGGAGAACTAGACTACTAGGGAGTCCAACCTTTGTCCTGGAGAACCAGAATCCAACACACTTTGGCGATTGTCTTGCTCAAATACACCTACTTAACCAAGTAACTAACTGCTGAGTTGGATCAAATTTATTAGTGCAGGGAAATTACCAAGCTCTGCTGGAATAAACCCTATGAAAAAGATCTACAGTAATACTACAGGATATAGTACAGAACATTACAGTTAATTTGATTTTTTACTAAAGTTTGCTATAAGACAGGGATAGGTAGGATATACTATGAATTCATTATAGAAGAATATAAAAGATAGTATTATAGGAATATTCTACCAAAATTAAAACATAAATTATAGATTATTATAGAAAATTATATAGCATAGACACCTTAAAGTTTAACAGTATTACTAGATCTTTTTACATGTTTTGTTGAGGCATGTGAAAATAAGTTAACACATCCTCTACAGAGAACACACTTCATAAATTTGGTGCTAGAAAGGAAATGTCCTAATTAACTGCCAAACTATTCCCAGTCTGAGGGAAGCACAGCGTCACCAGCGCCACCTGAGGCAGTGGGGGATTCGTGCCTTGTCCAAGTGCACAACCAGGAATACCCAGTCAGCCCAGGAATTTGAACCCACAACCTTTAGGTTTGCTGGCCCTGCTGAAGAAGTGCATAAGAACCAGTAGGATTAAAACTGATGGTTTTGCTTTCTAACAGAAACTGGCTTAATGGTTAACAATAGAGACCACTAATGTCCTGTAGGCCACCTTTAGATCCCATTAGGAAACCATTAAATGCATCTGGAATAAGTCCCAGAACACTTGTTAAACCATTAGAATCCTTTACACTGTGATATCAAACCATCAGGAAAACACAAAATAGCATTACTAACTATTGGACACCAACAGAAATGTTTAATGGTTTGTTTTTTTTTTTTAACCGAAAGGTCTTGTCACTAGGCTACCAGCCACACCCAATGCACAAATACCGTTTATCTGATGAATTTGACACAAAATGAGGCCTGTGCAAAAGTTATGACACATTTTATGATTTTTCATACCATGTTAAACTCAGCAAATAAATAAGTTATTTTCACCTCAAAAATCAACAAAACATCTACTTCGACCAGAGGTATTCAAACTTTTGCATACAACTGTATGTCCACTTTAGCTCATGCAGCAAACTAAACAGTACATCTGTAGGTGTGCATGTGTGCCATAACTAGAAATGCCAGAGCTAAAACTTGAACGCAGTGCCAAAGTTTGGACCACCGTGGACCCCTAACTTTCCTGTAAACATTCAAATGATAACACCACATTATCATGTGAGGTTGAGAAAGCTGTGCGTCTGTACTAAAACTTGGGGGCTCCCTTTCTTGAAAAGGTCTTTCTGCGTGAAGTGTTGTGCCCCACCTGAGAGCTGAGGTGAGGGTCTGCCCGTCGGGAGCGGTTCGGTGCGTGGAGCCACAGCAGGGAGGCACCACTGCCGCATGGTCGACGAGTCACCACACGGGCCGAGGGACGTCTGGCATGAAAAATATAAGAAAATGACCAAGACGTTTAGCTCACGAACGTTACAGCTCGGTCTTTACAGTCACGAAGAGTCCAGCCACGAAAGCTAAACCCACTCCCCGGACTGAATACGAGGAACAGTCCGCCATTACATCTTAATGTATTGAACGTATACGCAGCTGTGACTTTGATTTCCATTCGTGTGTGAGTGAGTGAGTGTTTATGTGTGCGTGAGTGAGTGTGTATGTGTGTGTGAGTGTGTTGCTGCAGTTTTTAGCTCACTGTAGCTTTTTAGCTTTAGCAGGCTAGCTTTGTTTTGGTCCCTCTGAGGGTTTTTGACACCCCGAATGACTATTTCGGGGCACCACCTCATCACCACAGCTAAAATGTAACGCTAAGCCCTGCAATAAGTGCAAAAACTCAGGGGAGATGAAGATTTCGACTCGACATAACACAAGACTGCAACGGGTTCTTCTGTCACTTTTTATGACTGCGGATGTGAAATGGCAGCTGACTAGCAAAGCTCTTGATAAACAGCTAAAGGAGTTTGGGGTGACTGCAGTAAGCAGGTCAATAACGGTGGCTTACCGCCTTCAGCTCCCCGTGCTGCTGCCAGCTCACTGCCGCCGGAGGGAGGAAGCCGAGGGTCGGCTGTGCAGGCAGTCCTCTCCGCGGGGTAAACGCTGGCCCAGCCGCCCAGGCGCTCGCTCGCTCGCTCGCTCGCTCACACTCTCTCGCCTCGCCTGCTGCACTTCAGCCGCCTCCGACTAGCTAGCTAATGAAGGTGATCCGGGGAAGGGTCACATTGTCCCGGGATGCTGCGGTGTAATATCACTCGGTCTACGGCGAGCAGTCCCAGCCTTACTGACCCCTCACCCGGGTACGAGTTCAGGCAGGAAGTGGGGAATGTTATTTCACCAGGAGGGAAAATTAAAGAGCTGCGCCAGTGATGGCAGAAAAATCCAAACCTACGATCTGGCACTTCTCTGTTCGCAGTGTTTTTTCACCAGACTATCTCTGAAAAAACGTTCATGGGGTATTAAATTTAAGAAACTTACACTTAAATGTCGAGTGAAAAAATGAAAACAACATTAAAAAGCCCATATCATGGAAAACTATTATCCCACCTTTTAAGTAAAAGAGTTTGATGTAGTCTGTAAACATTGTCAAAGTTTCAAAACCATTCACTGCCCAGTCCACACAGCTCATACATAAAAACACTAAGCTGCAAAAACAGCCAGTTTTTAATTAGCAGTTTTTGATATGTCAAAAAAAAACAAAACAAAGTAGGCTATATTCGGCCTACAGCAGTTTAGTTCCATTTATAGAAGTTATAAGGAGTGGTACGGAGCCCCGCTGGTGACATCCTGTATAAATAAAAATAATGCGTGGCCACGACTTAGTAAGGCATGGGAATGAGATGCTTAAGTCGTGGCAACGACTTAGTAAAGCGTGGAAACGAGATCCTAATGTGTGACCACGACTTAGAAAGCCATGATTTCGTTCCCACACCTTACTAAATCATGGCCATGACTTAATCGTCTCATTCCCACGCCTTATTAAGTTGTGGCCACGCATTATTTTTATTTATACAGGATGTCATCATCAGGGCTCTGTAGTACTGTATCAGCCCAGACCACATTTTGAATGATGTACAATAGATCAGAACAAAGTTAAATTTACATATATAGGCCTGAAAGACAGTATCAAAAACATCCTGTTTTAATTTGAGGATAAAGTGAAGTTGGAAGTCATCATGTAAAAATCAATTAGGACTGTTTTTGGTACATAAAACCCCATATGTGGACCTCAGGAAAAGAAATAAAATACAAGGTAAATGTAGGGTACGAGCCCTTTAACAGGCTTGCTGAACATATGGCTGTGAGTAGTGGAGGAAATGGCTATGCTATGCAGACAGATGTTCCTAATCTTTTCATCTAAGCATAACCACATGTAGTTGAGTTTTTGCTGTGTGTTATGACAAACTAATATTCACCATAGACGGTCGGTATCCATCGCTATTTACCCAGGTACATGTACTTATATGTACAGTGTCAATGGATTGTACTTCTCCAAGTATTTTTAAATGGTAACACTTTTACACAGACTAACCTCAGGTGTTTTTGTTATGAAAGGACTCTAATTTTCAATAGTTTTATTTTAGTCTTCCACATTTAGTTATTTACCTCACTTCTGAACTTTACAATTTATTGTAGACCTGTATGCTCTTTAAAAGAGAAGAATAGAGCAAACTTCAGTTCCTATGCTGAGATACACTGCAAGTACTCAAAGGTTCCTATGCAGCTCAACAGGAAACCTAGCGCTGACCTGATTCTCTTTATCTGCTACTCGAGCAGCTTTTTGGTAACTTATTTTGCTACTACTTGCCTTGCACTGAAGTGTGGTTTAGGTTCTTCTACTCACCTCTCATAAATTCAAGGTCTGCTTTAAAAAAAAAAAAACAGCAAACAGCAGAAAAAGGTTCTAAAAACCTACAGCACTGATGTGTTAACATGTGACTACCATAAATCATAATTCTAAGCCACTATTTTCCATCTCTGTGTGAGATAAGTCCCGCTATGCACTGGTAGTAAGAATGCATAATAAATACGGTAGTGTGCAAAAGTCAGAGAGAAGGTCAGAGATGCCTAATGCCTGGCAAACAGCCATAATGGTTAACTATCTACATCTGCTATTTAAGGCATAAAAATGATTGTGACTATTAAAAGCTTTCAAAGTCTGAAGAGATCAAAGCAACTGTTAAATAGGGGTCTTAAAGGGTCCATATCATGGATAAACATGTCTTTATATAGGTGTTGGATGTTGTATGTGAACATTGCTAAAGTTTTAAAATCTACCATTCATTCCCCAGTTCATTTACTAAAAAAGCAAACAGAAAAACAAAAAAGCTGCTGTGATCTCAGAACAGTGGACTGACCTCCCCAGAGTCCAGACCTCAACATCTTCGAATATGTGTTGGGATTATTTGGAATGTGAGACAACTCAGCACTGTGGTTCTGAAAGCATGTGCAGCTGTCAAGAAGCTAGAGAAAAGGAAATAGACAAAAAAGAAAATCTGCAAATCAAGCAAAAAGCTGCTGGTGTTTTTAGAACAATGGACTGACCACCCCAAAGTCCACTTAGCATCAATGAATGCATTTGATAAAACTTGGATCGTGAGAAGCAGGAAATTCAGCCAACTTGTAAGACTGAACTGGAGGTGTGTAAAAATATCTCTGCATATTTCTTTGAAAAATGAAAGCAAGTCCCCCGAAAAGAATAGAAAATGTGATAAAGGCACAGTGTGGAAAACATTGTATTATAGGTGTTGAGGCTTGTGTGTGATTTCCTGGTGGTGAAAAATGAATAACTTGTACTTATTTGCTCTCTCTGACTTTTGCACAGTACTATATAGAACGGTTTTCTGAAGTTTTGTTGGCTAGAAGTCATCAGAAATCTACTGAAGAGGTGCTGGCTACTGCATGGAGATTGTAGACATTAGAAATAAATTCAGTAGTGATAAGGAATCAGCCACACCCTCTGTAATATGCAACCTCTCTCTCTCTCTCTCTCTTGCTCTCTCTCTTTCTTCCAGGGTGTACAAACATGATGTTTACTTACTGCACTGAGTTGCTCACACTTCAGTCACATAATAGCTGAAGCGAGTGGCACACCTCAGGCAGTTGTACCAGCATAAACCAACAGTAGTGTTGGAAGCAAAGCCTGCTGAAATCAGCTGTTTGTGCTCTAGATTCAGGCCACTCAGCTTTTAAAAATGAACTGGGCTTTTTTTCAGGGTCTTATTAGTGGCGTGAACAAGTACTCGACAGCATTCGGACGCATCTGGCTGTCGGTGGTGTTCATCTTTCGTCTGATGGTGCTGCTGGTGGCAGCAGAGAAGGTGTGGGGCGATGAGCAGAAGGACTTTGACTGCAACACCAGGGAGCCAGGCTGCCACAACGTCTGCTACGACTATTTCTTCCCCGTGTCTCACTCCCGACTGTGGGCGCTGCAACTCATCTTTGTCACCTGCCCTTCTCTCCTGGTGGTCCTGCATGTGGCCTACAGGGACGACCGTGAGAGGAAGCACCAGCTGAAGTACGGTGAGGGCTGTCCCCACCTCTACCAAGACACCAGTAAGAAAAGAGGTGGGCTGTGGTGGACATATCTCTTCAGCCTCATATTTAAGATGTCCGTGGATGCCGTCTTCATCTTCCTCGTCTTCTACATCTATGAGGCCAACTTCTTTCCTTTGCTGGTGAGGTGTAAAGTGCCTCCCTGCCCTCAGGTGACAGACTGCTACATCGGCCGCCCCACAGAGAAGCGCATCTTTACGGTCTTCCTGGTGGTGATCAGTTTAGTCTGCATCTTGCTGACCTTGTGTGAGATACTGTACCTCGTTTGTAAGCGCTGCCATGAATGTGTCGTTTCACACAAGATCAACAAACCAGAGAGCCAAATCCCAACCATCTCTTCTCTGGCTAGCAAACAAAATCAAGAAAACATGCAGGAGAAGTCTCTGTTAGACAAAGCTAACGGTCATTCCCCCACTGAGGACATCAGCGCTCCGGCTTACAGTTTGGCCATCTCCTGAACTGTGTCCAGAAGGTTACAGAAAATACCATGAAACCAAGAGAGGTGACCAAAGACAAGGAACTGTATTACATTCAATTCGTGTAAACTGTAGATTTTTTTTTTTGTTTTTTATGTGTTTGTATTTGGCAATGTTTTAATGCCGTGATGAGAATATCAAATTAATATAATCGTGTGATATGTAACTAAAATATGGAAATTGTATTGGAATAAACATTAATTAAACAAATCTTCATGTGGTGTTTTTCATACTTCAATTATTCATGGCAATTTTTGCAGTAACACTACAGTACAGCTATGGAACTTTGATGTTCATAATATAAATCATTTCCAGCCAAAATGGCCATTAAGTACAGGTAATTCATTTACCAGTACCAGAAAAAAGGGCAAAGGCATATATTAAACATAAAAATTACAAAGAATCCTCAACAACTAACCATAATATATATTTTTTCAGCAGTCCACTCTTTGCCTGTACTAAAGCTTCCATTTTTTTTCAGGAGAACTGATTTCTGTTTTTTAAAGAAACTTGAAGGATATTTTTCCACAACTCCAAAGTTTAGTCTCAGTAGTTGGTTCTCATGATCCAAGTTATATCAAATGCATCACTGATGTTGAGGTCTGGACTCTGGGCGGGGCAGCTTCTTTGTTGATTTACAAATTATCTTCCTTTTTATCCATCTCACCAACAGCTTCTTGACAGCTACACATCCTTTCAGATAGTGTTGAGTTCTCTCCTCACAGTGGAAGGATGGACAGAAAGACCTGTGGATTTTTCCACATCTGAAGCAAGAGTGGAGCTTGATTTTCTCCTCTCTCTCAAAGACAAAAGCTTTTTGTACTGTTATGTGACAGGGACACTTTTGGTGGTCTACCAGGTCTCACATGATTGTTAGGAGTCCCATTTTCTCTGTAGCTTTTCGTCATTTTTTTGAACTCCAGCTTTTGGAAACTTTTTTTTTTCACTCATTTTACTTTGACTTTCTTCTTCCTTAAGCAAGTGAATTATCTTATGTCTAATCTTTTCCAAAATATCTTCTGAAAAATGAATAACTCATATTCAATGGCTGTTTTAACTGAAAGATTAAATAAATGGAGGGTGGTCTCTGACATTTGCATAGTACTGTGTCAATACTACAATATTTATGCGTCAATTCACAAGACATTTGTCAACTAGTTCTAACAACCAATACAATCATCAGTGCTTACAGACAAGATCAGACCATCACTTGCATGACTTTATTATATTTATGTTTTTTATTTTTTTTATAGAGATACCTACAAACACAAAAGTTTTATATTGATAGAAAACCAGATTAACCTTTCCTTCACTATTGTAAAATCTGCTTGCCTTTCACAATGTGTTATTGTTTGATGGAGGTGTGTTTAGGCGTGCATGTGCAGAGACACGGGCTTCTAGCTGCCAGTATTTAGTTTAGTTGGCAATTATTCAAGAGCTACAATGAAGAAACCAACACCCACAGTATCAGAGTAGCTGACAATAGCTGGAGTCTGAAAAGAAAAGAAACTCCCTGAAAAACAAACAGCTTTGATTAATCAATACCCTTTGGTCAGCCATGTCCACTATTAATCATATGTAATTAAAAATATCCGCCTCATTAGTCTGAAGGAACATTAGCTGTGTGCCTATGAGCCTCTGCCTTATCTTAGTCTAGAACTTTTGTTCTGTATGTTCATTTTCTTGGGTAAATACAGAATCAGTATTTGGTGATACAGCTTATCTCTGCGTCATAAGTTGTAGATGGAGTTTGTCTGGGTGCAGTTCACCACCCTGGAGGTGAATATTCATTCACTATTATAGACACAGACTGGCCCCATGTCTGAGCAGCACCACAGGATGTGATAACATCCGAGATACAGGCACTATACAAAATTTGTCATGTGAATCACCAGGTGAGTTCCTGTACCAGATGCAACACAAGGTTAATTTAATGTGAAAGTGGCCTGTTTCATTATGTGTAGAAAGTTTAGCTAGATTGTCAAAGCCATAAAGGCCTTTGAGGTGATAAGGTGGTGCATGAAAATGAAAAGTTTTGTAAAAAGATTGTGTTATAATTGAAGAGTTTCATGAACATCAGCTGATGTATAGCACACTGTGCCAGAAAACATCCGGGACGAGATGGGACGAGACCCCGGGGGTGTCCTACGACCGGCTGGAGGGAATTACATCTCCAAGCTGGCCTGGGAGCGGCTCTTCTCTGCTTTCCCAACTGCTACCGCGACCCTGTCTGGACTAAGCAGTTAAAGATAATGAAGATGATGATGATGATGATGATGATGATCATAATATAGCACGGATGTTTCTTGTATATGTAAAGCTCACTCTCAACAATATACAGTATGGGACAAATATACAGACCCACCTTTCATTTATTTAATTTCCAGTTAAAACAGTCATTAAGTACAATTGATTCATTGGTATTTCATCATTTAGAGTAGGATAACTTGTAATTGTAAGAAGCAGAAATTGTATCCTACTTCTGAACTGTAGATTACTACAGATTCTTTACATATTAACATCACACACACAGATTCACAAGAAGGTCTTGATGTTTAGGTCTCAAATGCAAAATCAACATTATGCTGATGAAGATATGATTACAATAGCAGGTAATTCACTCACATCCTCAAAAGACACGTCCTCCAACAAGTTTTAACTAAGTTCTTTTTGCGTTGTGTGCAAATACACATTTCGCCAGAGAGGTCTCCAAATCCCCAAAACTTACACAGTGCAGCTTTAAAGAACTGAAAACAAGTCTCCCGGAAAGAATGAAAGCTCATACAAAATACTTTGCGGACACACAACATCCTGAAAATTCTTATAAATA